GGGCCTAAGCCAGCAGGTGGACATCCCCCAAGGGGTCGCAGACTGCGAGAGGGCACAGGCCGGGCTGAGGGGACCCCCCTCCCCCAGTGCACAAATTTTTGTGCGCCGGGCCTCTAGTTTCTTTATATTGACTCTCCTGGCCACTGTGGGAGTTGTGTTCCTCTGAGGTTCTTGTTTTGCTCTAAAGCAGAAATGTCCACTTGGCCATCACACTCCTTTATATTGACTCTCCTGGCCACTGTAGGAGTTGTGTTCCTCTGAGGTTCTTGTTTTGCTCTAAAGCAGAAATGTCCACTTGGCCATCACACTCCTGTAATTGTTCTAATGATAGAGTTTTACAAAGAGTGACCCCAAAAGGATCCCATCTGTAGGAGTGAGGGAGAGGCCAGAGCGAGGTCCATTTCCAGCTCTGCTTGTCTTTGCTGTTTTGGGTTCTGTTACTGCCAGATAAGAATATTTAGAGAATTTTCGCAAAAAATATATCCAAATTTAGCTACTTGGAATAATTTGTTCTCACTGCAGCTAACAGTTCTTAAAGGCTATATTCGTGGCTAGGAGACCAGAAAATAAAAGGCTATGCTAGTATTTACCACTCATGATGGTGTGACACAGGCATTACCTTCTGCGGTCCACCCTGGTTCTGTAAAACTGGCTGGGGTAACAGATCACTGCTCCCAGGGCTGTTTTTTTTGTTGTTGTTGTTGTTTTTTTTAATATATTTTATTGATTTTTTACAGAGAGGAAGGGAGAAAGATAGAGAGTTAGAAACATCGATGAGAGAGAAGCATCGATCAGCTGCCTCCTGCACATCTCCTACTGGGGATGTGCCCGCAACCCAGGTACATGCCCTTGACCGGAACTGAACCTGGGACCTTTCAGTCCGCAGGCCGACGCTCTATCCACTGAGCCAAACCGGTTTCGGCTGACAGGGCTGTTTTTAAATTGGGTTCGCGTGGGCTTATTCTGGGCTTAAGGCTGCTAGTAGGAGGGAAAGGTGAGTGGGGGGCAAATTCTTTAAAAGTAACCTCGTCAGTTTGTTCACTAGCTTGCACTTTTTAGGAGGAAAATTAATTACACATAATAAATGGCTGTATAGCAATACCTGACAGCAAGTGCTCTATGGTAGTTTGTGTTACACCTGGTGTCATTGCAGCGAGGGATGATGGTGAACATAGTTAAATACAAATTGATTATTTTTAGTTTGCATGAAATACTTTCTTTTGGTCTAATTTCAGTAGATTCAATGGCAAGTGAATCAATGACAGTTTTATACTGTCAAATTCCCCTTCAAAAAAAAGAATTAAGTTTATTTTTTTAAGTAGTAATAAATGCACCTGTTACAGAAAGAAAGCAACACAAAAAGGCAAATAGTAAACCTTAAGTCTTTCCCTCTCTAGCTACCTTAGCTTCACCCCAACAGCAACTCCCGTTATCAGTTTCTAGTATTTGCTTCCAAGATATTTTATCATCAGCATTCAAGTATAGTTTTAAGGTTTTTGTTTGTTTGTTTGTACCCCAAAAAGTAACACAGATCTGTCTCCACCTTGGAGACTATCCCATATCAGTGCATGCGGCCTCTTTTTGTTTTCCCCATGGCTACATAATGTCCTGTTATTTGGGCTATATCATCATTTAACCACATGTTTCCAGTCTCCCCCACCGTTAGTGCCTCCATTATACACTGTCGTTTTAGACAGATGGTATGTGTGTAAGAACATGCCTGGGTGTGGGATTGCTGGGCCATAGGGTCATGGTTTATATTCTCACCAGCAGTGAATCACCAACACAGTGTGTTACGAAATTTTTATATCTATCCATCTGCTAGGTGAAAATTAGTATCTGTCATTTTAATTAGCGTTTATGAAGGAGTTTGATCCTATTTTCCCTATTTGAGGACATCCATCTTTTCTGTGAACTATCATGTCTATTCATGTACTTTCCCCTTTTTCGATTAGCTGGTTGGTCTCATTGATTTGAAGAAAATTAGCATTTGGTACATGAGCTGAGCGGCAAGGTTTTGTTTTCCATTTAAATTCTCCGGTCTACCATGCGCAGCTTCAATTTTCATCTTTAAGTCTGATTCCTCCGGAATACATGTTTGCTGGGGTGTGAGGTAGACATCCAGTTTAGCCATTTCCCCCAGATGGCTCCGAATTTGTTCCCTATGTGTTACTTTGTATCCTTCCTGATTTGAATGCCAACATTATCATATACCTAATTCCCATATCTGTTGGTTCTTTGTAGAAATTTCAGTCAGCTCCATTCATGAGCCAGGACTGCACTACTTTAATTACTGCAGCTCTGTGGTTCCCACCCACCTGCCTCCACAGTTGGTTTTCTTTGTCAGGAAGTATGCTTTTTGCCCTGGCCCGGGTTAGAGTGTGGGCCCAAGCACTGGAGGGTCTCAGGTTCCATTCCCAGTCACATGTGGGTTGCAGGTTCAATCCCTGGCCCTGGTTGGAGCATGGGTGGGAGGCAACCTATTGATGTGTGTCTCCCACATCGATGTTTCTACCTCTCTCTTCTCCCCTTTCCCTTCCACTCTCTCTAAAAATCAATGGAAAAAATATTCTCAGGTGAGGATTAACAACAAACGTATGCTTTTTTGGCCAGCATCATGTTACATTTATATATTAATTTAGGGTTAATCAGTGGATATCCTTACAATTCTGCATATTCTTGCTAAAGACAGCCATGCTCGCTGTTCCATTTATTTAAGTCCTTTATCTCAGGAGTATTTTAAGATTTTCTTTAAATGAAGCATATTTTTTTGTTTCCTTCAGTTTATTCCTAGGAATTTTGTCCTTTTTGGTTACTGCTACAGCAGAAGATCTTGTTCCTCCATTATACTTTCTAACTAGTTGTTGCTTGCGCCAACTTAAATAGGATTACTCTTTTTTTTTTTTCACATCTTCCCTTCAGAGGAAACATAATTTGAACTTTGGAGCCACTGTAGCTGAGCTGGTGACTAAAATCATTTGGAATTTTGTTCTTAATCTGGGTAGAAAGATCTGTCATTCCATTAACAATTTGTTTTCAAAAATCAACACTAAGACCGGCCGGAGCAACTCGGTTGGTTGAGCATTGTCCCATGAACTAAAAGGTCACTGGTTCAATTCCCAGTCAAGGCGCATGCCCAGGTTGTGGGCTCGAGCCCCAGTACAGGGTGTTATAGGAGGCAGCTGGTCAATGTTTTTCTCTCTCTTCCTTCCTCTCTCTCTAAAATCAATAAAAACATATTTTTAAAAAATCAACACTAAAATAAATTCAACTTAATAAAAGTTGTACTAATAAGGAAAATAAAGGTTTTATTTTGCATAGATAGTAAGCTCTGTGATGTAGAAATGCTATTTTCTGATTAATGACCACTATTTTTGATGTCAGAGAGTTGATAGGACAACTAAATTTTTCTTTTTGTTTTTAAAAGACACTTTACCATAGGGCAGAAATTCAGGGTTGTCATGGACACTAGTTGTAACCATACTATGGAATTGCAAAGTTAACAGACAGTTACTTGCCTCGATTTTTCTATAATAGTGCTTGGTGTGTGTGGTATGTGGATAGTTCTGTTTCAACTGAGAGCAACATATTTGTACCAGGCAGGGGTGTGCACTGATGAAGGCTGCATTGACGTTAGCCTCTCTGTGCTTTGATAATTCCGGATCTAAAGCAGTTTCATAAAGCCATATAAAACTGGGTGCCAGTACCCTATTGCACAATGTGTACCTTTGTGGTTTTTTGTTGTTGTTGGTTTTTAAATATATTTTATTGATTTTTTTACAGAGAGGAAGGGAGAGGAATAGAGAGTTAGAAACATCAATGAGAGAGAAACATCGATCAGCTGCCTCCTGCACACTCCCCACTGGGTATGTGCCCGCAACCAAAGTACATGCCCTTGACTGGGATCGAACCTGGGACCCTTGAGTCCGCAGGCTGACGCTCTATCCACTGAGCCAAACCAGTTAGGGCTGTACCTTTGTTTTTAATTCCTAAAGCTGCTCAGTAAGTAACTCATTCCATCCTCAAATGTCTGGGTACTCACTCTGCAGTTTCTCCATTCTCTTCTCCTCCCCTCCCTCTCGAGTGCTGGTGGTCACCCAGCCAGTGATGCATGGTCATGATTTATGGGGGGCCCTTGTCTGTGGGCCTCTCATAGTGGACCCATGCCAGAGGAAGTTGCAGCCTCAAACCATTGCCCAGCCTCCTTACCCTTGGGCTGTGAGCACTGAAGGGGGCTGTACAGTATAGAAATAGAGTGCTCCCCAGCTGATGGCACTGAATGGAGCATGCATCTGCTCCAGGAGGAGAAACTTCATAAACATGGAGCCTGTTTCAGAAATCCAATGATCAGTGCTCAGGCCATTGTGACACACACACAGAAAACAGGGCACGTGATAATATAACTATTTTATGTAGGAAAGTACAGATGTGTGGAATAAACCAGTAGCACTTGTGAATTTTCTGTGAGGTCTAAGAGATTCTGGACTTTCATCCATAAAAGAGAACACAAACCAGTCATCTTTTCATTCCTTACATCTTCTTCTCCCAAGGTTTACAGGAATCAATTTTTAATATTGGCTTAAAGCACATGATCACCCCCAGACCAGTCTTAAATAAATCTTGAGTGTATGGACTATGTTTCTAGAATAATATTGTAATCCACATTTTGTTTACTTTGATTTCTTTGACCAGGAAATATGTGAAGAACTTTGGGTGAAGATTGCTTGTTATGCCAAGTGTAATCCTTTTTCTTCCACAGGATGAATATTCCATCTTTCCCCAGACGTACTCCATAGATATTAATGGTTATATTCTCGTGTATTCTGTGACATCGATCAAAAGGTAAGACTCAACGCCTCTTCCTTGCTTGAGTTTATTTGCTATGCAGAGATAGCATTAATCCTTATAAATGATTATGCTGGAATTGGTGTAGTAACAATTAGACTTAATTACTAAGCTAAATGTTTTGTGGGACAAACAGGTTGTTAAAGGAAAAACAATATCCTGATAGGTGTTCTAGATAAATAGTGATTGAACACAGTCTGAGCTTATCTGCTGATTGAAATAGGGAGTGCATAAAGTGATTACTTTTTCTGTGTTTTCATCATGTAAATGTGGAACATGGGCTGACTGCTGGGGCCCACTAGCTAAGGAATGTTCTACAAATGTTTATTCAGAGATTATGTGGTTTGTCAGCTCAGTGTTAGACTTTTCCCATTAAATGTCAGACCTGTTTCATTTTGAATGTTCTCAATTGGGGTTACTGAGTGTCAAATACATGTACATGTGAAATATTGGTAGGAAAAAGAAAGGAATTCTTTGTGTTCGGTTTATTTTATTAAAATGGTGAATCTGACATTTTCTATTTTTCTCACTAAAACTTTACATAATAAACATTTAAAACATGAACACTAAATTGGGTGTCTGCCCTAGCTGGTTTGGCTCAGTGGATAAAGCATTGGCCTGCAGATTGAAGGATCCCAGATTCAATTCCAGTCAAGGGCACATGCCTGGGTTGCAGGCTCAATCCCCAATGGGAGGCATGCAGGAGGCGGCCAATCAATGATTCTCTGTCACCATTGATGTTTCTATCTCTCTCTCCCTCCCCTTTCCTCTCTGAAATCAATAAAAAATATTTTTTTTTTAAAAAATTAAATTGGATGTCTGACTTCATGTTTTTCCTTTTATAGTTTTGAGGTGATTAAAGTTATCCATGGCAAGTTGTTGGACATGGTGGGGAAAGTGCAGTAAGTAGGAACATTTTTCTCTCTAGTTAGATACACTCTTTCCAATAGCACCTTCTGGACAAACTGACTCGTTTTCTTTGCCTTTCTTTCTTATATTAACAGAATACCTATTATGTTGGTTGGGAATAAGAAAGACCTACATATGGAAAGGTATGTCACTTCTAATAACTGCTGATTCATAGAATTGAGTCTGAGATGTTAAGTCCCAGAAGTCACGGGTTCCGTTGTTCCCCGGCGCAGTGGGGGGGGGGGGGGGGGGTAGCTGCGGCGCCCGTGTTCTGTGTTCAGGGAGGTGCGCGGTGCTACTTGGCAGAAGCCAACTCACCTGCCTTGAAAAATGTTTCCTGGAGAAGAGAGGGAGCAAACACTGTAGAAAATTATCTTTCGTTTCTTCTACCATTTTGTGCAAAGCAGACACTAACAATACAATGGGAGCGTTCATTTATTCAACAAATTGTTTTTTGAGTGCAAGGTTAGGATTAGAGCAGTGGCCCCGCCGGCAGGAAACGCCGGCTGGATGCTGGCTGCCTGTGTGCAGCATAGCCATGGCCCTTTGGGAGTTGCCCCTGTCCTCGGGCACGTGCAGCTCTCTCTAAGATGTTGGGGTGTTGGTAAATGCCTTCTGTGAGCTGTGCGGGCTGCCAGGGAGTGAGTACTAGTACTCCCATAAGACAGTGTCTGTCTGTTCCCCGGCTCAGGTGGGAGTGATGCATGGTCATGATTTATGGGGGGCCCTTGTCTGTGGGCCTCTCATAGTGGACCCATGCCAGAGGAAGTTGCAGCCTCAAACCATTGCCCAGCCTCCTTACCCTTGGGCTGTGTGCACTGAAGGGGGCTGTACAGTATAGAAATAGAGTGCTCCCCAGCTGATGGCACTGAATGGAGCATGCATCTGCTCCAGGAGGAGAAACTTCATAAACATGGAGTCTGTTTCAGAAATCCAAGTACAGTAGATGTTTTATATAATAAAGAGCAAAGCTCTTTAATGAGAATTTTTGTCCTTTAGGGTGATCAGTTATGAAGAAGGGAAGGCGTTAGCAGAATCTTGGAATGCAGCTTTTTTGGAATCTTCTGCTAAAGAGAATCAAGTAGGTATTTTTTAAAGCTCACTTCGCACTGCATCCCGTCAGTCCAGGCCTGTGCTCCTGTTAGCAGTTCAGCACTGTCTTCATTGCTCCTGTTTAATCCTGACCCTCCCACCATTCCTCCCATCAGGCTTTGGGTTGCCTCAGTGAGACACCATCAGTTTTATTTCAGCCAGTGTTCAACCTCATGGGACCTGGAATATTTGTAGGATAAACAGAAATTGATAGTAAAGGAAATACTACCTTTGTGAACATGCATTATCGTGTTTGTTTTATACTAAAGGCTGCTACAGAAGTAAGTCTAGACTCACCTGGGTGGGACGAGGCGGCCGTGTGCATGACCAAGTGTAGCAGAGGCTCAGGTCTGCCTGGGGAGAGGCAGACTGTTCTGGATGAAACTGTGTGCACCTAAGTTCCTCATGTCCAAGACATTTTTGGTTAGTTGGGGAGATTGGATTATGTTTTTGATATATTAGGAAAATGGTGTTAATTTTTTTAGGTGCGGTAATGGTATTGGGTTTATGACAAGAATACCTTTGTTCTTGAGAAATGCAAACCAAAGTATTTAGGGGCAAAGTTTCATAATGTCAGCAACTTACTTTCAAATAGGATGGGAGGATGGATAGAGAAAAAGAGAACAAATACATACAGCAAAGATGTTAACATTCGCTGAATCCAGCCAGTGGGGCTAGGTGGTTCTTGTACAGTTCTTTCTGTTGTTCTGTATAATTGAAAATTTGTGAGGTGGGGGAGTGAAGTTGAATGGTTGGCCTCAAGCTGTGTTCAATTCTGTTTGCTCACTTCGCTGTGCTTGCTTCTCTTTGGTGAAAAACTGAGGGTCTTAAAGCAGTTGTTCTGTTTGACAGTAGAGTTAAGGAGGCAGCAGCAGCAGTGTGGACTGTTCATGTAGGTGAGTGTAACCACTTCTCAGTGTGTGTCTGGCAGTTACTAATCCTTCTAGCAACCTCAGGAGTGTAAATGCCTTATGGAGCCTACCTCCAATGTGTTAAGAGGGATTGCTGAGTAGGGAGCATTGGCTCAGGTTAATTTGTGTTTTTGAGAGTAACTTGAATGGTTAGCTTAAAGAGTGTTATTTGGTTTCAGGGTGCAGGCCTCTTCTCCAGTTTGTGTTGTACTTTACTGTAGCTGAAGGGTTTAATGTGGTTCTGGATAGGTTTGCCCGTTAACCTTTCAGTTCCTTTAGAAGGTGGCGAACTGCTTTCGAAGACCCAGATAAAAGGTGAATGTGCTGCCGACAGGCAGACAAGCGCTGAGGTCGGGTGTTCCCATTGCTCACTGTCTGGGGCGGCTCTCGCACCATCATCATCAGGCCTGAAGTGAACCCTTTAAAGCAAAAAGATTGTTACACCCAAGTTAGGTGCATGCATTGGAGACATGCAGGTCCTGAGCAGATCCCTCACTGGCATTCTAGATGGTTCTCACTCTGTCATGTCGTGGGACACTCCTGCTTACGTCCTCTTTGAATGTGCAGGAGATGATGAGGGGGCCCTGAGCCTAGTGAGTGTCTCCAAGTCAGGTGGGGAGAAACTGAGTAATTCTAATCCCTGGAGTGATTCTAATCCCCACACACACTGGAATGCTTACTACTATTTGTGTAGTAGGGAGAGAAATCTGTCTAGTGTGCACTCGCACACCCACACCCAAGTGGTCATGTGACCAGAGACCAGTTCCTGTGAACTGATCAAAATTTTATTGATAGATTTTCAAGTAATTTGTATTACTTGCCAAAAATTCAATATTTTCAAAAAAAACTTTCCTCAGCAGAGTTCAGTTTCATTGATAACATCATGGTAGTAAAAATTGCCAAGTCTGTGAGAATACTGCATTTTAACTGTTAATGGAGTCTGGGACGTTTGCAGTTTGGTTTATTTACCATGGAGGCCTTCGGCTATAGTTCAGCAATTTGATGAAAGAGAATATTTTTTGACAATCAGATCACATAGATTACTAAGTTGTAAGATTTATCTAGAAAGCCCGGTCCTAGACACACTATTTTCTTGGTAAGAGTTTGGCAAGTGTCATTCCCAACATTTTTCTGTGCATTATATTCAGAATGAAATAAATAACTTGTTTGTATAACCATGGGACGTGAGGGGGGTGAGTCATGGAGGAGGAGGGGAGGGTTGCTGAACCAGTGGCGCAGTTAGACAGGAGGGCTGGGCGTGTGGCTGGCTTTGGCTTGACCAGGAGTCCTGCTTCCTACCAGTCGGAGAGAAGGGACCAGAGTAGATGAGCCCATAGGGTACATGGCGGTCTCTCTGGATGTCGATTCTGTTTTCCTGGTGAAATATAAAACAGGGTCACCACGGAATGGGGAGGCTTTAGGAATTCAGAGGAAAGGGAAGACATGAAACCTTCATCTGGGGGAATGACTGGACGAGGGACATGAGCTGGGCTGCTGGGTGGCATCGAGGGTCCACTGCATTCAGGGTCCTGGAGGTGACAGCTGTCGCAGCGTGTTCCCAGGCTGCACTGGGGGTGGTGCAGGCACCGCGCAGGCTGTTGGCAGAGAAGGGAGTCCACGTCCATGAGCACGATGGTGACTGTGGGATCTGCTGGCCCCAGGAGGAAAGTGAACGAGAAAGTGGCTAAGGGACAGGGAGAAGGTGGTCGGATCGGGGAGGCAGGTCCCTGTGGGGCCGAGGATTGTTGAGTTGAGGCTATTGAAAGTGGAAAGGACGGCGAGGTGGTGGGAGACTTAACATTGGGTGGCTGCTGCGGTGACGAGATCTAGGACTGCCCCTGAGGCTGTTGAGAACGGGTTTCTTTCATCATCACAGTGAGCACACTTACAGGACAGGGACTGGCCGTCCTAACCTCTGTTCAGCATAAGGGAGGGTTTCCTGTCCAAAGGGCCAGTGCTCCTCCTGTGAGGGGCTGGGGGGCTCTGGGAGGCCAAGCTGCTGGGTCTGCAGACAGTGAAGGAAGGGGAAGTGGCTCGAAAGGATCGGGCTCAAAGGTGAAAAATACCCTCTCATGGCATAAGTGTCAACACAGGTTTAAGGGAGTGGGAGAAAAATAGGTTCGGAGGAAGGGCAGCAAGAATGAGAGTTTGCCCGGCCTTAGGCCCCGGGGTGCCGGGAAAGAGGGAGCATGGCCCTGGGAAGCAGTGTCCGAGGGAAAGGACAGCCCTCAGGGAGGTGGCTAGGCTGGTGCTGGACCTGGAAATCCAGAGGCACCGGGGGAGGGCTGGGCTGGAGCCGACCCCTCCCTGTGGTGACCATGAAAGCAGGATCAGAAGCACGAGAGATTAGTTCTGGTCTCAGGTCAGGTGGGAGGGGGTGCGGTGGGGAGGAAGGAAGACCAGTCTCCGGGTTGTGGGGTGGCCTTGGCCTCTGCGCCTGTGCCTGCAGCTGGGGGGCAGACAGCGGGCCTTCTCCAGTCCTGGCAGCAGCGGTAAGAGTGAGTCTCAGGCTTCCGCTGTAAAGCCAACAGTCATGTTTTATTTCTTTTTCAGACTGCTGTTGATGTGTTCAGAAGGATAATTTTGGAGGCAGAAAAAATTGATGGGGCTGCTTCACAAGGAAAGTCTTCCTGCTGGGTGATGTAATTCTGCTGCGGGGCCCAAGGCCACTGGGACCCGTCCTGCCCGGAGACGCAAACTGCCCGTCATCCTCGAAGATAAACTCTGCTTCGTTTTCCTTCTGTTAACCTGAAAGATTTATTTGGGTCAGAGCTTTTTCCCACCTGCCCCCCTTTCAGATTATGTTGAACTCTGACTATCCTTCTGAGTTCACTTCCACTTTCAAATTTTAAGCAATCATATTTTCAATTTATATATTGTATTTCTTAATAATATTATGACCAAGAATTTTATCGGCATTAATTTTTAAGTGTAGTTTGATGTTTAAAATAATGTAATCATCAAAGATGCATATTGTTACACTACTATTAACTAGGCTTCCATATATCAGTGTTTATTTCATTGTGTTAAATGTATACTTGTAAATAAAATAGCTGCAACCCTAATCCCTCGCGCTACTTAGTGTGGCTTTTAAAGAAAACCATGTCCGGTGAGGGCTCCTTCCCGCCCCCAGGAAGGCTCAGGTTGGATTCCAGGAACTGGTGGAGGATGTGGCCACAGGTGGAGGCCAGTGGGCCCTCGGGTTATCGGCGGGGCCCACTGGATGGCAGTGACGGGGGTAGACTGCCAGAACTGGGGAGGGATCTCTGTTCACTAAAGCTGAGTGGCCTTGGGGGTCTGTGAGGGAGTCACTCCCAATAATGGCTGTTCTCTCTCCACCCTCAGAGGCCCCCATCCCAGCCTTCACTGGAGGGCTTCCTGCAGGGGGGCTGTGGCGGTTACTTGGCAAAGCCTTCTCCTCGCCCAACTGCTTATCTCAGCTGCATGAAGGAAAGAGATGTTAGAGACACTTACTATCCCTCCTTTTTTAAATATATTACTGATTTCAGAGAGAGAAACGTCAATGAGAGAGAATCGATTGGCTCCCTCCTGCACGCCCCCTACTGGGGATAAAGCCTGCAACCCAGGCATGTGCCCTCGACCAGAATCGAACCTGGGACCCTTCAGTATGCAAGCCAACGCTCTATCCACTGAGCCAAACTGGCTAGGGCTATTGTCCCTCCTTATGCTTAGCTTGATGTCCATGGCAGATGGGATCTAATTTACTTCGTTATTTTTATTTTTCAATTACGGTTGATAGACATTATGTTAATTTCAGGTGTCCACCCAGTGACTAACGATTGCATAACTTACTAAGTGATCACCCGCCCGATAGCTATCGCACCCCTCTGACACCACACATGCTATTAGAACACCATGGGCTCTATTCCCAGTGTTGTGCTTTACGTCCCATGCAGACAGCATCTGACCTAGAGCATAGATGCCTGTCACCATCCCCAAACCTCCAGTAGTTTAAAGAATGGGGACTATTGCCCAGTAAGTGGGGTGTGGGGGGGCTTCATGAACCTTCTCCAGGCCCAGCCGCACGCCTCCCGCACGCTCGGAGGTGCAGCTGAAGGAGAGCGGGTCTGATGTGGCAGCTCCCACTCACTGGGAGTCGGTTCCAGCCCAGCTGTGCTTTAAATGCTGCCCCGTCCCAGTTACATTTCACAGGGCATTGCTATCATTAGGAAATGTTACTAACAAAATGTACTTTTGCTTTGTGACTAATTTTTTAATGAAAATTTGTTTTTAGAATATGCCATTATTTGGGATCGTTTAAGTATTTGTCTCGTCATTCCAGGATGAAATTTGAGCTTTAGGAGACCTCCACCAAATACTTTTTAAATAAAATAAATTTTGACAATATAGTATCAGGACTTGTTAACAGGGCTTGTTCTTAGGCCTGATGTTAAGACTCGGTGCTCAGTGTATGCACCACGTTGACTCCGGGCCGGGTCACCGCCAGCTTCTCCTCTGAAGCTGTCTGTGGGCGTGCACTTCGGTGGGCCATGCACCTGGAAACAGTTCACTGCACAGGGGGGCCTACAGGGCTGGGTCTCCTGCTGGGCGGCAGTGTGATATCCTGTATGTGTACCGTTCACATGTTTTCTGAGCACCTACTATGTGCTGGACACTGTTCTAAGTGTCATAAACACAACAGAAATCTGAACCCTTGTAGAGCTTGCATTTGACCCCAAACCTGGGGACATGGGAGCAGATTCTTCCTTGACCTGCTCAACTACGCCAACTATTGGGTCCGAGCCCCTCTACAAGGAACTGGACCTCCGGGACAGAAGACATGAGAAGTGGTAGTTATATAAGACAGTCTTTATTGTAGCCAAGTAGCCATTGCTAACTAAGTAGCCATTAGACAAAGTAGCTCTTCAAAGGAGTCTCACACAGTAGCCGCTGCTAACATAGCAGCCGTGGCAAACACAGGAGCCATACCAAGCAGCTGCTGTACACATAGCAGCCCTGCATAAAAGTAGCCTCCAACACAGGAGCTATACAAACAGTAGCCCGACCAAGCAGCCGGGCACCGGCCGGCCAGTAATACATCTTCCCCATAACGCAGCCCTGTGCTGGCTGGTCAGTGGCAACTTATATACAAGCATAAACAAGCTCAGACAAGAGGCATTGTGCCAAATAGTTCGGGCTACAGAAAGGCACGCCTGCGCCGTGTGTAGATTGTTGTGTCCTTGCTATGCACCTGCATATAGCAACTTAGCTTTGAACACCGTGATTAGGAGTCCCACACTCAGATTGGCCTTGAACATCTGTTGTGCTCTGGACAAGGCCCCCACACTTAAATCGGCCTTGAGCATCTGGCCTACTCTGACCAGGGTTCCCACAGGACACCGCAGGGTAGGTCCATCCTGCTCCCCAGGGCAGCGATCCCATCCACCAGACCGTTGGTTCACTCCCCTGATGGCCTGACCAGGAATCAAACCATGACCGCCTGGTTCATTGGTCGATGCTCAACCACTGAGCCACACTGTCCGGGCATCACTGCAGGTTTTGACAATCCTCAGAGCAAAGGGCTTTGATGCACTCCAGCCCCACCTGGATGGCTCCA